AAAAATAGAATAAGCTAAATAAAAACAATTAAAAAGCAATAAAAACAATAAAATACCACTTATCCAATTTTTTAAACAAAAAGTTGAACTAAAAACAATGAAATAAATGAAACAGATGAAACAGATAAAACAGAGGACCACAAAACGGGGTGATAAGAGCCAGAGAGTAAAAGTATATATGGAATGAATGAATGAATACTTTTTTTGCGAGCCATGGCAGACAGGAACAATACATATACAGTATGTTTTGTTTTATTAACAAAAAGTCGACAAAAATATATGTCAAAGTTACGGGGGGGTTTTTCAAGTGAGAATGCAGGGGAGGCTCATTTCAACCACACACTTACAGTCAATCAATCAATCCATAAACCTTTTGTGCTTTTCCCACACAAAGTAACACGCTGCACAGCCCATTACACATTAGACATAAATCATCATATAATTCTGAAATGTGTAGAGAATCTCCAAATCCTATTGATTCATATAAAAGTAGTGACTCTGACTTTGTTGTGAGGAGGGCGTATCGACCCGGCTGCATTCATGAAGCCGCCATCGGTCATTTGTTTCATACCAAACCTCCATATCACAATTCAGTCATTTTAACTTTATTGAATTTTTTAAAACACACAAAAAAAATCAGTGGATGTCAATTGAATAGATAGTTAAAAACCTGACAAATCTGAAAGCCTCACACTTTGCTCTTTACTAAGTAGTTAGAAAAGATTGATCTATTTTAGTATCAAAGAACTACATTTTCTCTCTTCTTGAGTGAATCCTTATACATTTACCGCCAATAACAAAACCTGTTGAAGATTACAGCTCGAAGGAACTCACTTTTTTACACATTTTCAAAACGGAGATAACAGTTTTGACCTCTTCAATTCGTTCCATGCATTAATGTAAGTTTCTTCCATCTCCACAACTCTGACCTATATCACTGATCGGTCAAATTATCATTACTACATGAGTAATAGTATACATTAAGTAATAATATGAGTAATTATGTTTACTCCATTTATGAGTAATAGTGTAAAGTAATTGTGCCAATCAACATCAAAATTGAATTCATAGCAGCCCATAATACATAATAATAAATTCTTTGAGTGTAAGCCTCTTCCCACTGTCTGTATTGGCATGTTTCTCCACTGAACATATGCATTATTCCACTTACATAAACTTCTGAGATACAAAACTGTTACTATTGTCTCCTTATAAACACATGAATTATATATAATTAAACTCCAATCAAATACCAAACTGAAATTCAATTATATGTATGTGTTTATGCAATGTTTTCCACAGATACACAGTTATATAGACCAGATGCCCTGCCTTTACTGTTATAGCAAAACCATGATCATTTTTAGCTCTTGTCCATATAGGAAGATTTTGGGACATACACATTTACATTCAAACATATACAAGACCTTTTCCACACCGACTCCCACTGCTGTCTACTGTCATTGTGTCCTTGAGCAAGACACTTTACCCCACTTTGTCTATAAGGAGCGTGGAAGCAACAGCAAACTGCATGTGTATATGGGGGGGATTCCAGCCTCAGTGATCCATCAGCAAAATCATACACTTTAAAGCTTTTAACAACAACGAAAACAAAGCATGCTGTCCAATACTACAGGAAAAACCCAGCAGTCAGCAAAATATATATATATATATGTTGACAAGAGCAGTTTTATTCCCAGAAGTCTCAGCAACGAAGCCATTCTCTCATCGCCTCAACATGAAACTTGCATTGCACTATAACTCATTTATGACCTCCGTTACTTTACATAGCCAACATGACCCGACACATGTTCAATATTTATCCATAAAAACATGCAGCTGTAGTTTAGAAGCAGGGGTAGTTTTGAGTATGTATTCTCAATGAGGCGCACGCGGTTAAAATTAATTATTATAATATTAAAAGTGCCATATTACGCGTTTTGTCATCACACTAACAAACCACCAGTGGACTCTGCAACTGTTCGAAGAAGGCACATAAATGAAAATACGAGTGAACTATTTATGGGAATGATAAACTTTGAAAATGCATCGTATTCTACTGTAGATGAACTGTTTAACTCTGTCACCTCTAGTGTTTTGAATGTTCTGGATACCGTTGCCCCTGTGAAGGTTAAAATAGTGAAAAATAAGCAGAAGGCGCCGTGGGCTAAAGCAGACTCGGTCAGAGCACTGAAGAGAAAGTGCCGGAGGGTCGAGCGGAAGTGGCGCAAGTCCAACCTCCAGGTTGATTACAAGATATTCAAAGATAAGTTGTGCGAGTTTAACCGGGTGCTACGTAGTACGAGAGAAAGGTATTTTTCTGAAATGATTGAAGGCTTGCAGCAACAATCTGCGTGTTCTGTTTTCAACAGTTAATAGATTAACAAACCCCCCTGTTCAGATGCCATTAGAGCTAACTTCCAAACGTAAATGCAATGCACACTTGTTGTTAGTAGGGGAAAAAGGGCGGTAGGGTGGGGGTGTGGGGGTGTGGGGGATGTGTGTGTGTGTGTGTCCGCCTGTGTGTTCTCCGCTTCGGTGAAAAGCGGAGGAGCTATTGTTTTTACATATTTCTTTCTCTAACGTCTTTTGCCGTGATATTCTTAAAACCAAGTATATTTTTTCTTCCCTTCTTCTTCTAAATTATCACGCAAGATGCGTAGTTGATTCGGAGACATAGAGCCTCCATAGCTTTAGGTCCGAACCGTTTTTCCATTGTCATTGTAACGGGGGACGTTAACCTTCCCCTCGGTGTGGCATCTCTAGATTGATTTTCCCATTTTCTCGTACAGAACAATGGGCCTAACCCGCTTAGTCTCTCCCTGCTCTTACCCACTTTGGGGCGCTCCGTTCCCCCCCCCGCTGGTTCAACCAGCGAGCGCGCGTTCTTGAAAACGGAGCGGTTCTGGCTGAAGACACTCAGAGATTCCAGGGTCGCTTACAGAGCGATACTAACGCGCAGCCGCTAGCTTCAATCTAGAACAAAAGCCCCCAAAAATCCCGCACACAGTCTATGCTGTGGCAATGCATGAAATACCCCAAAAATACATAAATAAACAAATCCCCGTGTACACTTAAGTGCTTGTTACGCAGATGAAAAGACAAAACTCACCAAGTTAGGTTCTTTTTGGTCTTGTGTGGCCAAAGAATCCTTTCACGCGCCGGACGAGCGCGCCCTCCTTTGTCTCCAAATAGAGAAGAGGCTGGTGTTGTTTCCAGGTCGGCCAAACGCGGCCGCTCGTCCCCGCCGAAAGTATCCATGCCAAGACATGCCAGCAACGCCAAATTGTTGTAGAATTACATACCCCAAAACAAGGAGAAAGCCCAAAAGTATTTGTCTTAAATCAGGAGCGTAAGTTTATTATACACACGTGCGGAGAGCCAGCACATACACACAAAGGCAGCATGTACCAGCTCTGGGCGCAGAGCCCCGAGTTTCCTGTATACAAGACACACACGAAAGCCAGTCCCGCCCACAACAGATGGGAGGGGGCCACCGGTGAGGAGGCGCATGGGGAGCGTTGGCGCCGTCTGGGATGGAGGTGCGAACAGACAGACAATGGTCATGCAGGATGTAGAGAGGCAGGCATACAGATGCGAAAGGGACAGGGGTGAGACAGTGATTTGCATCATTGTCTGGCGGTGCGGGAAGGACTGGCTCCTTCCTGCAGGTTAGCTGGATAGAGCAGCAGGGGGGGGGGTGAGTTGGCGTCCCCGAGTCACAAGCAGATTGCCATCACACTAACAAACCACCAGTGGACTCTGCAACTGTTCGAAGAAGGCACATAAATGAAAATACGAGTGAACTATTTATGGGAATGATAAACTTTGAAAATGCATCGTATTCTACTGTAGATGAACTGTTTAACTCTGTCACCTCTAGTGTTTTGAATGTTCTGGATACCGTTGCCCCTGTGAAGGTTAAAATAGTGAAAAATAAGCAGAAGGCGCCGTGGGCTAAAGCAGACTCGGTCAGAGCACTGAAGAGAAAGTGCCGGAGGGTCGAGCGGAAGTGGCGCAAGTCCAACCTCCAGGTTGATTACAAGATATTCAAAGATAAGTTGTGCGAGTTTAACCGGGTGCTACGTAGTACGAGAGAAAGGTATTTTTCTGAAATGATTGAAGGCTGCAGCAACAATCTGCGTGTTCTGTTTTCAACAGTTAATAGATTAACAAACCCCCCTGTTCAGATGCCATTAGAGCTAACTTCCAAACGTAAATGCAATGCACACTTTTTCAATGACAAGGTTCAAGGCATCAAAAACGCCATTGTCTCCAATCCACAGATAACCATTCAACAGCCAGAAAGGCTCTCTGAGCTAACTTACTTTGCACCTGTAGATGATCAAAATGTCCAAGAAATAATCTCCAGTTTGAGCTCCTCCACATGCAGCCTGGATGTACTACCCACTAGATTTCTGAAGTCTGTTCTGGGCAGTCTGTTACCTTCACTCACACAGATAGTAAACATGTCCCTTCATTCTGGAATATTCCCAAAGGCCCTGAAAACGGCAGTCATCAGGCCCCTGCTAAAAAAGAGCAGCCTGGATGCTACGGTACTTAACAACTATCGTCCCATCTCAAATCTGCCATTTATGGGGAAAGTCCTTGAGAAAGTTGTCTACCTACAGCTTACTAGATTTCTTATAATTAACAACTCATTTGATATGTTTCAGTCCGGCTTTAGACCCCACCACAGCACTGAGACTGCTCTTGTCAAGGTTACAAACGATATCCGGCTGAACACTGACGCAGGCAAAGTCTCAATCTTAATCTTGTTAGATCTGAGTGCTGCCTTTGACACCGTCGACCATGAGATCCTCTTACAGAGACTAGAGGACTGGGTTGGAGTCGCTGGCACCGCCCTAAGTTGGTTTAGGTCTTACCTTGAAGACAGGAAGTACTTTGTGGAGATTGGAGACTGTGTCTCAGATCATATGGCCCTGACCTGTGGAGTACCACAGGGGTCGATCCTGGGACCTCTTCTGTTCAATCTTTACATGTTGCCGTTAGGTCAGTTAATACGCAGAAACAAAGTGTCCTATCATAACTATGCAGACGACACTCAGATCTATGTCTCACTGACTGCAGGAGAACATGGACCAGTGGACTCACTCCTTCACTGTATCCAACAGATCAGTGAGTGGATGCAAAACAACTTCCTTCAGCTAAACGCAGACAAAACTGAAATGATTGTCTTTGGTCCCCAGAAACAAAGAGAGAGCGTCATCTGTCACCTACAGTCTCTCTCCCTAAAACCTTCAAACAAGGTCAGAAATCTAGGGGTAATACTGGACTCAGACTTAAATTTTAATAGCCACATCAAATCAGTAACATCAGCAGCTTTTTACCATCTAAAAAACATTGCCAGGATCAAAAACATAGTGTCTAAAGCAGACTTGGAGATTCTTATCCATGCATTTGTCTCCAGTAGGTTAGACTACTGCAATGGCCTGCTCACAGGTCTGTCCAAACAGGCTGTAAAACAGCTGCAGTACATTCAAAATGCAGCAGCTCGAGTCCTGACTAGAACCAGGAAGTACGACCACATTAGTCCAGTCCTCAGGTCCCTGCACTGGCTTCCTGTGGCTCAGAGAATAGACTTTAAAACAGCTCTGCTTGTTACAAGTCTCTCCATGGCCTCGCACCAAACTATATTAGTGACATGTTAGTCCCATATGAACCAGCCCGGACTCTGAGGAGCACAGGGACTGGACTCCTGTTAGTGCCCAGAGTCAGAACTAAACATGGAGAGGCTGCTTTTCAGATTCATGCTGCTAAAATCTGGAACAGTCTTCCTGAAGATGTGAGACAGGCCTCCTCTCTGACAATGTTTAAAACCAGGTTAAAGACGGTTCTGTTTAGCTGTGCATACAACTGAGGGATTTTATATTTTTATCTTTTTTTTTTTTAATGTACTGTGATTATTTATGATTTTAATGCTTTCTTGTTCTGTTCAGCACTTTGAGTTGCCTTGTGTATGAATTGTGCTATACAAATAAACTTGCCTTGCCTTGCCTAGACGCTAATTTTGGAATTTTTTCTTCTACTTTTGATCACCCGAGGATTAAGACGTTTTTTTTTCGTCCCACAGTGGGGAAATTTCAGTGTTGCATCATTGGTTATAGAACAGTAGGAACGAGGAGCCCACAGCACAGGATAAACAAACAATAAAATAAATGCTTTAACTACAGCATAAAAAAGATGCATGTATAAAATCTCTAGCTTTAGCATAACCAAGAAGCAAGAATTTAGTAAAAAAACTGACTTTAGCGTAAAGTAGTAGTAAGCAGAAGTAAGTGTCAAGTAGGATAATAAAAAAGTAGAATAAAATAAAGTCGGCACCACACATTTGTTTACAAACATAAGTTGTTGTACATCAGAAACACACACTTTGAACCATTTCTGTGATTATAAAAGTGTGATAGTTATTGTAATGGCTTTGTCAGACCACTTAGGGTGCATTTTACCTACTGTCACTTGAACTTTCTCTTTCTCTGCTTCTTTGGTTCAGGACCTTGTGTGAACTACTCTGGTTGCCAAATCACATGGGCCAAGTTCTGTAAAGTGAGTTTTCTGCACAGACATGAATGAGTTGCTTTTGTTTGGTCCCGTATTGTTTTTTATATTGTTCCCGTCCGGCAGGAAAACATGGCTGGGAAGGGCTTCTCGTTCTGGGTGTGGTTGGACAACATCATTGACCTGGTTAAGAAGTACATCCTGGCTCTATGGAACGAAGGGTGAGGCGAGATGCTTTGTTTGTTTCTCATTGAACGTGGCGGAGATTTCCAGAAGTGATTCCCGATCCTTTTGTGCGCAGCTACATCATGGGCTTCATCAGCAAAGAACGAGAGAGAGCGCTCCTCAGCCCCAAACCTCCTGGAACCTTCCTGCTGCGCTTCAGCGAGAGCAGCAAAGAGGGAGGCATCACCTTCACGTGGGTCGAGAAGGACATCTCCGGTGAGTGCCAGATATTGGAAACGTTTCAATACGTAAGACACAATATAAGATACGATAGGATAACACTTTACTTATCTCACAGTGGAGAAATGGACTCTAAACAATAATAACAATAAAAATAGTTATTAATACAACTTTTTTTTTGTTTTTACTCGGCCATCTTTACCAATTTCAATCAATCAATTTTGTAGAGCGCCTTTCCTACACAAGGCAACACAAAGCACCAACCCATATTACATCATGCATAAATTCTAAACATCCATCCATCCATTTTCTACCCTTTAATCCATTTCTGGGTCAGGGGGGTGGCAGTCAGAGATGCCACCCAAGTCTCATAGCACCAGCCCCTCACTGACCCTCTGCAGGTGGTGAGTCCACAGGAGTGTTCCTTCTAAACAAATTCTAAACATTATAAAATACAATTAAAATCCCACAGGGCATAGAAGATAAAAAATACACAATAAGATGATAGGAAATATTAAAAACGTAAAAAAAATAATATCACACAAGCAAGAGGCCAGTCTCTGTGCTCCTCAGAGTCCGAGTTGGTTCAAACGACACCAATATGTCACAGATGTACTTTGGGGAGGCATGGTGGCTGAGCAGATAGACCTTCTCGCTGAGAAGGTCCTGGGTTCGAATCCTGGTCAGAACAGGGCCTTTCTGAGTGGAGTTTGCATGGGCTCTGTGAAAGGCGGTATATAAATAAAGATTACTTACTTACTTACCATGGAAAGACACAAGCAGAGCAGTTTTAAAGTCTATTCCAGGGATTAAAGAGTTCCGTCTAGGTGACGGATTTCCGTCAAATGAAATTGGTCTGGAAAAAAAAAAATATATCCATCCATCCATCCATCCATTTTCTTCCGCTTTATCCGTTGTCGGGTCGCGGGGGCAGCAGTCTAAGCAGAGACGCCCAGACTTCCCTATCCACACACACTTCCTCCAGCTCGTCCGGGGGGACCCCAAGGCGTTCCCAGGCCAGCTGAGAGACATAGTCCCTCCAGCGTGTCCTAGGTCTTCCGCGGGGCCTCCTCCCGGTGGGACGTGCCCGGAACACCTCCCCAGGGAGGCGTCCAGGAGGCATCCGGAACAGATGCCCGAGCCACCTCAACTGGTTCCTCTTGACGTGGAGAAGCAGCGGCTCTACTCCGAGCTCCTCCCGTGAGACTAAGCTCCTCACCCTATCTCTAAGGGAGCGCCCAGCCACTCTGCGGAGGAAGCTCATTTCGGCCGCTTGTATCCGCGATCTCGTTCTTTCGGTCATTACCCAAAGTTCATGACCATAGGTGAGGGAGGGAACGAAGATTGACCGGTAAATTGAGAGCTTTGCCTTTCGGCTCAGCTCCCTCTTTACCACAACGGTCCGATACAGCGACCGCATCACTGCGCACGCTGCACCGATCCGCCTGTCAATCTCACGCTCCATTCTTCCCTCACTCGTGAACAAGACCCCGAGATACTTGAACTCCTCCACTTGAGAAAGGACCTCTCCACCCACCTGCAGAGGGCAAGGCACCTTTTTCCGGTCGAGCACCATGGCCTTGGATTTGGAGGTGCTGATTCTCATCCCAGCCGCTTCACACTCGGCTGCAAACCGCCCCAGTGCATGTTGCAGGTCCTGGTTCGTTGGAGCCAACAGGACAACATCGTCCGCAAACAGCAGAGATGAAATCCTGTGGTCTCCGAACCGGACCCCCTCCGACCCCTGGCTGCGCCTAGATATTCTGTCCATAAATACAGTGAACAGAATCGGTGACAAAGGCAAGCCCTGTCGGAGGCCAACATTCACCGGGAACAGGTCTGACTTACTGCCGGCAATGCGAACACAGCTCTGGCTCCGGTCATACAGGGATCGGATGGCCCTCAGCAGAGGACCCCCGACCCCGTACTCCCGGAGAACCCCCCAAAGGACACCCCGGGGAACACAGTCGAACGCCTTCTCCAAATCCACAAAACACATGTGGACAGGTTGGGCGAACTCCCATGAACCCTCGAGTATCCGATGGAGAGTATAGAGCTGGTCCAGTGTTCCGCGACCGGGACGAAATCCACACTGCTCCTCCTGGATCCGAGATTCGACCATCGGCCGTAACCTCCTCTCCAGTACCCTGGAGTAGACCTTACCGGGGAGGCTGAGGAGTGTAATCCCACGATAATTGGAACACACCCTCCGGTCCCCCTTCTTGTAGAGAGGGACCACCACCCCGGTCTGCCACTCCATTGGCACCGCCCCCGAGCGCCACGCGATGTTGCAGAGACGTGTCAGCCAAGACAGTCCTACAACATCCAGAGACTTTAGATAATCAGGGCGGATCTCATCCACACCCGGAGCCTTGCCACCATGGAGGCTACCAACCACCTTGGTGACCTCAGCCAGGGAGATGGATGTATCCGCCTCAACATCCTCAGCCTCTGCCTCTGTAACAGAGGACGTGACGGGGGGATTGAGGAGAACCTCAAAGTATTCCTTCCACCGCCCGACAATATCCCCAGTCGAGGTCAGCAGCTCTCCACCCGCACCGTACATGGTGTTGGCAAAGTAAGTAAGTAAGTAGTAGTAAGTAATCTTTATTTATATACCGCCTTTTCACTGCACATCGGAGTCTCAAAGCGGTTTACAATTGTTATTTTTTTTGGGAGTGGGGCCAGTACAGGAGGCACATGCCAGACCTATTGTACATATTTTTAGTGGTAGGGGAAACCGGAGCACCCGGAGGAAACCTACGCAGACACGGGGAGAACATGCAAACTCCACTCAGAAAGGCCCTGGTCCAACCGGGATTCGAACCCAGGACCTTCTTGCTGAGAGGCGAGAGTGCTATCCACTCTGCCACCGTGCCGCCCTTACTGCAAAGAACTGCTTCCCCCTCCTGAGGCGCCGGATGGTTTGCCAGAATCTCTTCGAGGCGACCGATAGTCATGCTCCATGGACTCTCCGAACTCCTCCCAGTCCCGGGTTTTTGCCTCTGCAACAGCCCGGGCCGCGGCACGCTTGGCCTGCCGGTACTGGACAGCTGCCTCAGGAGTCCCCCGAACCATCATGGCTCGATAGGACTCCTTCTTCAGCCTGACAGCATCCCTTACTGCCGGTGTCCACCACCGGGTTCGGGGGTTGCCGCCGGGACCAGCACCAGAGACCTTGCGACCACAGCTACGAGCTGCCGCATCGGCGATTGAGGCAGAGAACATGGTCCACTCGGACTCAATGTCCCCCTCCTCCGCCGGGACCTGGGAGAAACTCTCCCGGAGGTGCGAGTTGAAAGTCCGTCTGACAGGGGGCTCAGCGAGACGTTCCCAGCAGACCCTCACTATACGCTTGGGTCTGCCAGGTCTGACCGGCTTCTTCCCCTGCCAGCGGATCCAACTCACGACCAGGTGATGATCGGTTGACAGCTCCGCCCCTCTTTTTACCCGAAGGTCAGATGATACGACAACAAAGTCGATCATCGACCTCCGGCCTAGGGTGTCCTGGTGCCACGTGCACTGGTGGACACCCTTGTGCTCGAACATGGTGTTCGTGATGGACAAACTGTGACTGGCACAGAAGTCCAACAACTGAACACCGCTCGGGTTCAGATCAGGGGGGCTGTTCTTTCCGATCACCCCTCTCCAAGTGTCACTGGCGACTCCCACATGGGCGTTGAAGTCCCCCAGGAGAATAACGGAGTCCCCGGGCGGTGCACCGTCCAGTACCCCTCCCAAGGACTCCAAGAAGGCCGGGTACTCTGCACTGCTGTTAGGCCCGTAGGCCGTCACAACAATGAGAGACTTGTCCCCCACCCGGAGGCGGAGGGACGCGACCCTCTCATTCACCGGGGAGAACTCCAACACATGGCGGCTGAGATGGGGGGCAATGAGAATGGCCACCCCAGCTCGCCGCCTCTCCCCGCGGGAAACTCCAGAAAAGTGGAGCGTCCAACCCCTCTTGGAGCGTCCAACCCCTCTATATAAAAATATATATATAATGATAATAATACACACAATGAAATGATTGATTATAAAAATAATATATAGTAATACATATACGTGTGAGTCTGTTTTTTATATATATATATATATATCTCGATGTATAATAATAATTTGAATATAATTGTATTTATATGTATATAGAAATAATAAGTAATATAATCACGAGTGGGCCTTGAACGTGCCGTGGCCACATGAGCGCTCCGCAAATGAATCAAGGCAATGGGACGTAGCTGAGCTCACGCGCAAATGAAGACGCGATGAAGTTAGCATTGGTAACACGGAGGTGAAAGTTTCTGGAAACTGCACGGAGCTTTTGAAAAGGAGAAGAGGAGAAAAATTGAATCTCGAACGGAGCAATAACAGCAGCAGATCCGCGGACTGGTAAGCTGGGCGCGTAATAGAGGAAAGGTAATTAACGTTTACCAAACGCAATGCTATTTTACTTAACGGAATGTACAAAACGGACTTTGCTGCGACTGGGAATGGGGACAAACATGTCTTGGTGAGCTTTTGATATTGTCTTGTTTGCGATCTTCTTGCAAAACTCAGCGTGATGTAAAAGAGCCAATCAATGAGTCATGGTGCGAAAAGATGAAAGTGGCCGGTGCTTGTGCGTACTTTGCCATAAAAAATTGCATGTATGGGAGTAATGAGAAAAAAGTTTTGATTCGCCACCAGCTCAAAACTGCGCACAAGGCAGCTGTTTGTGCACTTTCCCACACTTCATCTTTACCTGGTGCATGAGCAACAACTAACACTAGGCTTGCTATGGCAGACCGTGTCTGTGGCTTTATCGCAGAAAATAACGTTCAGAATATCACTACCGCTGGTAGATTTATTTAAATCATTTGCAGTTGATCGAAGTGCACTGTGCACTCAAACTTGATAGGGATGTGGACAGAATTGTATCGTCCTTTTGCGATATTTTGACGAGGACAGAGCCAAAGTGTTGACGCTCCATATCGCCTCAAGTAAAGCTACTCTCACTAATATTCTGTCAAAAAGTTGACGCGTTGCTTGATCCACTTATATTTCATATCAAAATACACTGTATATCTTTGAAGAATTCATTTGAGCTGTATTCAATATACCAGTGTCTCCCAAAGTGGGTACTGCAGGGGGGCCGCGGGAGGTCATAAAAAAAATAAAAAAATAATATCATTATTTAATGTTAAATTTATAATGTTTTGTTTGTAATATTAAAATATTTGTGTTCATTATTTGACTTGAATAATCCACTGTAATCATTTTTGTATTACAATGTTTGTAGCAGAGGCTATTTCCCCAAAATAAAATAACCAGAAGAGCCTATTCTTAATGTTGTCTTCTTGGTTATTATTTTGGGGGGCCACGCAGACCCGTCAGATTTTTAAGGGGGCCTCGGTGTTACTGAGTTTGGGAATGGCTGCAATATACAATCTATTATACAATAATATATTGTAATTAAAAATATAACTTGGTCTTGCATATTACTGTGATTTACATGTGATAAATTTCCATGCAAAAATTTTCAGTCAAATCTTTTTTTTTTGCTTAAACCCCTGGTCTATTCTCTGAGCCACAGGAGACCTGAGGACTGGACTGATGTGATTGTACTTTCTTCCAGTAAAAGATAATATTAAATGTCAAACGTGACACGTACATTTTATTTGTAAACTTTATCTTATCTTATCTTAAATGAGGAGCAAATGGTGGTCTGAGTCTAATATTTGCCTTCATGTGTTCAGGTAAGACGCAGATCCAGTCGGTGGAGCCGTACACCAAACAGCAGCTCAACAACATGTCGTTCGCTGACATCATCATGGGATACAAGATCATGGACGCCACCAACATCCTGGTGTCTCCGCTCGTCTATCTCTATCCAGAAATCCCCAAAGAAGAAGCTTTCGGCAAATACTGCAGACCAGAGGCCGCGCCGGAGCCGGAGATGGGAGGAGACTCCACCAGCAGTGAGTGCAACAAACTTATGTGTGTGTGTGCGCCCTCATCCCCACCGGTGTCAGACTGTACAATGAGTCACTTTAATGGCCTGCACTGGGACTGAAATATAGTCACAGCTATAGTCAATTACTTTTTTATTGTACATAATATATCTTGCACAAAAGAGACTATTTAAAAAAAAAAACTACACTTCCTGTTTTTTTGTGATTTTATCTATGCCAAATGTATTTTTCTCTATTATGAGATCAATAAAGTTGATCTTCTCTCTGTGTTTTTGTGTTGAATTTTTGTTTATCTTGTTTGCTTTGTTTATGAAAAGCTGTGAATTTAGTTCCTTGCTCTTTAAATCAGACAAGGTTCATTTTACAAGGTTGTGTTTTCTTTCGCAGTCATCCAGCCGTACTTGAAGACCAAGTTTATCTGCGTTACCCCGTGAGTATCTTTATTTTACGTCTATAGTAAATGAAATGAAAGTATCTGATCCAACCATTGTACAGCTCTAAATCCAACCACTCAGCAGTAGAAGTTCCTGTAGAAACGATTACTCAAAAGTGTTATTTTCACTTCTACAATCATCGCCGTAGCAACTCAAAACGTCAAACTGTTGAATCTCTCTTTGTTTTTTATCCCCTGGTAATGAAAGACAGATGAGGTTTGAGCAAAGTTACTTAAAACTACAAGAAGATGAGCTGTACAGGACTATACAGACTCTATTACTCATTAATTTGGTTAAAAATAAAAATGGACACGGGATTTAATATTACCGAGATAATACTATTTGTTAAACTGTGTGCCTTGACTGTGAGCAGCTGGGAGAGACAGGCCCAGTGTGAATATTAGGAGGTGTCTGTGGCATGCTGGTCAGTCTGTGAGCTGGGGCTTGTTGCGTTTTGCTGAGCGAGTATTGACCTGTCGTTGTAGGTGCCCCTCGGTGTTCATGGATCTTCCGGACAGTGATCTGCTTGGGAACGGATTCCCATGGTAGGCACAGGGTCCTGGGGGAGAGGCGTGTCGGAGGGGTCTGTGTGTCTGTGTGCTGCTGTGCGTTTAGTTCACACCAAAAACACTTTCCTTCATGTGTCGGGCATTTCTCTCATTTCTCATTTTGTAGATTTTGTGAGTTTCTCAGGATTGATACATTTTAATGAATAACTAACTTACAAAAATACATAGATGTACAGATTTTCTGTGATCCACGGGGGTTCTTTGGAGGGAGATATAGAAGTATGGCCCTGAGACCCTCCACTGAGGGCCATTAGCTTGGAGCTCACTTTGTGGACAGTCAGACCTGTTCCCAGTGCATGTGCACCAGGGCTGGATCTGTCACTGGTTCAGGGGCCATGGACATTCCGGTTTGGGACCAGAGGAATTCATCTCTGCTGTTTGCAGATGATGTTGTTCTGTTGACTTCCACAAACCTGGACCTTTTCCTCTTCAGGAAGTGGAGAGGTCCTTCCTCAAGTACTATCTCTTGTTCTCAGTGAGAGACGGATGGAGCGTGAGTTGTCGACAGTCCGGTGCAGCGTGTGCAGTGATGCAGCAGCTGCACTGGACTGTTTAGGGGAAGAGGGAGTAAAACCTATGGTTATTTGGACAATAGCAGTGGTTCTAAAAGTGGGGGACAGTGCCCCCAGGGGGTGAAGAGATGAAGCTGGGAGATATTCATTTGTGATTTTTTTATAAGGTTAAATAACCTAATGAATAAATGGATTTAACATGTTTTAACAAACTATATTCATCTGTGAGGACCATTTTTTGTTTGTTGAGAGAGAGGTTTGGGAACTCTGACCAAAGTGGCCAGGAGGAGCTCAGTCACACAGGAGGAGCTTGGGGTATAGTTGCTGCTCCACAAGAGAAACCATGGGAAGGAGACCACAGGGGAAGACCCTGGACATGCTCGAGGGACTAAAGGCTTAGGATTCCTATAGAGCTCCAGGAAGTGTGTCCGGATATTATTGTAGAGTTCAGTAAATGAGCAACAGAGACAAAGATGACGTTAGCAAAATATGATACAGAAGTAAAGCACACAGGTGCCTTCTTTCACACCTGTATTCATATTTCATATTGTTTGCATTGCCTCTGGGGCTTCACCACTCACCTCTCCCCTGTCATGTAGCTGTCTTTAACAACATCTGTGGTTGTTTGTTTGTGTAGAATGTAGCCATTAAAAAGTGCATGTTCTCACTTTTCCACACAGTGGGTTTGTATTATGCATTTATCCCAGTCAGATAAATGCCATTATGGGATATAGAATTTCTAAAATGTTAATGTTTTCTCCCTTTGAATAGAATATTGATAGTTATTTCGCAGCATCACGCATGTGGATCTCATCATTTTTCTGTTTCTTCTTGTAAATAACTGAATGTGTTTTTTTGTGTCTCGTTCCAGCACAAATTCAGGAAACACCAGTGACCTGTTCCCCATGTCCCCTCGCACTCTGGACTCCCTCATGCACAACGAGACAGAGGCCACGCAGGGCCATCTCGGTGAGTGACCAAACTTTAGATAAAAATGGTAAAGCTCAAAACAACAACTGTTTTAGAGCTACTTAGGAGCGTTTCCAGTGCATTCAAGAGTAAAACTTGACTGAACTTCTCCTTGTTTTCCTCCACAGACTCGCTGACTTTAGACATGGATGTTGCGTCGCCGATCTGAGCCTCCTCACTTCCCCCTGTTTTATATTATACTGTTTCTTTTTGTGGCTGTAAGATCCTAGCTCCCATTGTATCTCCACTTGTACATATTTTCTCTTTGACATAACTGTAAAAAATATCCGGTTTCTGTTTTATTTTGCTCAATTTAAGATGATTTTATTTTAAATTCTTGTACATTATTGACGTTTAGTTCTTGCAGCCCTGAACACACAGCTTTTACTATGGATAGAAACATATTTTTTATCAAATCAGGTATTTTACGCAATCTTGAACAACGAATGGATTTCTTCACATGAGAATGTTGTAGTAACAAACGTATAAGCTACATTTAGGGGATTTTTTTATATCATTATTTTGTATGTTCAGAGCAGAGCCATCATGTCTCTTATCCATGGGGTTCAGAATGATGAGAAATTAGGACTGTTGCCATATCTTTTTAAAAAGCCAATGTTATATCATTTGTATGAGGAAACAGACCTGGAATTGTTGCATGAAATAATGCATTGAAACCGATAGATACTGTTAATAACTACATAAAAGTCCTGGATCATCACTGTCCTTAGACCCTCCTGCAGCAGCAAGGAACAACTACAAAACACATTGGGAAAAGTGAGAAACCTGAGGGAGGGATCCGCTTCCACAATTGGCCGAGGCTGTAGATCCAGGTAGATCCAGGACCGAGGCTGTAGATCCAGGACCGAGGCTGTAGATCCAGGACCGAGGCTGTAGATCCAGGACCGAGGCTGTAGATCCAGGACCGAGGTGGGATCCAGGACCGAGGTGGGATCCAGGACTGAGGCTGTAGATCCAGGCTGTAGATCCAGAACTGAGGAGGCTCCCAGGCAGGGAAGGAGGTGCAGCCAATGATTCAGTTATTTCTTTCTCCCTCTCTTTATGAAAATGTGTTTTTGCTTAATTGAAAGAGCATTCACTAGTGCAGAACGGGACATTGGATTTTGGATGCTTTAACAGTTTTAACTCAAATCCATCATTCAATCTGATGATTTAATGAATTCATCGTTCAAAGACTTTTGAAAGTGGAGAATTGATTAGGCCCGAGCCCCGAACGGTGAAAGGGCCTATTGTTTTTGCTCGAGAGATGTCAAATTCTGCACTTTGAGCCTTAATTTCACCCCCTGAACATGCATGAAAAGTTGTAAAATTTTACCCAAACATCAGACCTGGTGAAAAATTTGATATTTGGGTGTTTATTTTTATGGGACTCAAAAAATGCCAGAACAGCGCCACCTACAACAGCCAATGGGAGATTCAGAGGTCAAGTTTGTCGTAGAGCCATGAAATTCGGTACACATGTTCCTCAAGTCAAGATACGACCGAAATGTTATCATGGCTCCGCCCTCTGACAAACAGGAGGCCCATAAATGTCACTGCAAAATGGAAAAATGATCCGCAATCATTTTTATACATGTCGGTTGGAAAGCGACTCCTCCTCGGCCGTTTCACCGATTCGCCTCAAAATCGCTCCACATCATCTCAACACATGTACCTTCAAAATGACCTCAGGGATTTTTGATCAGTGAAACATTGTTCGAGCAGCGGAGCGGCAAAATGTGACCTTTTTTGGCCGTTTTTGACAACATTAAATTTGCTCCCGTTTGCACAAACAAAGTCTGATTTTCACAAAACTTTAGTACATTCTTCAACTCTAGGGTCTAGGTCATTTGAAAGTGAAATGATTCAAATTGACACATTAGCGCCCCTACAGACTATTTCAAAGTTTTAGATGGGCCTTTTCAAATTTAGTTTTTTCAAAATGTTTGAAATTTTGCACATAAATCTGTTTTGCCCTACTGATTCAAAAAGTCAACAGGGTCCAAGGCTTATTTTTTACCCTGTTGCCGTGGCGACGACAAACGCTCCCCATTCATTGCAAATGTACACCTCACACAAACATCAAACCAGCCTCGGCCGTTTCACCGATTCGCCTCAAAATCGCTCCACATAATATCAACATATGTACCATCAAAATGACTTCAGGGAATTTTGATCAGTGGAACGTTGTTTGAGCAGCAGAGCGCCAAAAAGTGGCGTATTTTTTTTCAGTTTTTGACAATAGAAAAATTGCTTCCGTTTGCACAAACAAAGTCTGATTTGCATAAAACTTGAATCCATGGTTAAACTCTTGGGTCTAGGTCATTTGAAAGTTAAAATTTAGAAATTGGCTCTATAGCGCCACCTACAACAGCCAATTTAAAAATGCCTATGAGAGGAGTTCAAGGTCAAAATTGTCAAAAGGGGAGAAATATGAATTAAGAGGTTAAACAAAATATCCTGGTTACTGTACATGTTTTGACTGAGCCCACTTCTCAAGCTTCAAATTGTATAAACTTCTTGAACCCAAATGTGAAGGGGACGGGAAAGCTCCCATTCTAGTCAAATCAGCCTCGCCAGCAATGTGGTAAATCAAACATACCCGCTTCATTAAATTAATCAATTTGACACAGTTAAGGACCCCAAAAATGCAGTAGCAGGATTAGGGGACATTTAATGACCCTATGGCCCTAGACAGTATGTCGAAAGATGTGTGCCCAAAATGCACCAATTTAGAACATGCCCCAAAACATAATATATGATTTTGTCCTGGAGAAAATGGGCACCTGCCACAATCATCGCTGGCAAGTGGATAAATGTGGGCCAATCTAGCGGATAGTGTACCTGAAAGTACTACCAATTGCATTGAATAAGTCTGTGCCGGGCACAGAATGGATGATAAGTGGACACGAGAAAGGGCTTGAATTCCACTACTGTGCAGTTATGCCAAGATCAAGGCTATCTTCCCACTGATTTTTGATCGCATTGAGAGTTGTAGACGTGGTTGAAAACATTGACCTATACAAAACTGAAATACAACCATTAACGGGCAGTTTGTAAAATGAGGAAAACGGCAAGTTCCGGATTTGGAAAAGATGATGCCTTGGGAATTTAAATTTTACAAAGTCTGTTCAAATGATGAAAATATACCATAATAATAAGTATATTTAGCGCCCAATTCCAACTATTATGCCATAGCCTAAAAGCATTATCCGACTTGGATGTGTGTGATACAGTTTTTGGAGTAATTACATAAAACCAGCCGCGATGATGGCAATCTGCTTGTGACTCGGGGACGCCAACTCACCCCCCCCCCTGCTGCTCTATCCAGCTAACCTGCAGGAAGGAGCCAGTCCTTCCCGCACCGCCAGACAATGATGCAAATCACTGTCTCACCCCTGTCCCTTTCGCATCTGTATGCCTGCCTCTCTACATCCTGCATGACCATTGTCTGTCTGTTCGCACCTCCATCCCAGACGGCGCCAACGCTCCCCATGCGCCTCCTCACCGGTGGCCCCCTCCCATCTGTTGTGGGCGGGACTGGCTTTCGTGTGTGTCTTGTATACAGGAAACTCGGGGCTCTGCGCCCAGAGCTGGTACATGCTGCCTTTGTGTGTATGTGCTGGCTCTCCGCACGTGTGTATAATAAACTTACGCTCCTGATTTAAGACAAATACTTTTGGGCTTTCTCCTTGTTTTGGGGTATGTAATTCTACAACAATTTGGCGTTGCTGGCATGTCTTGGCATGGATACTTTCGGCGGGGACGAGCGGCCGCGTTTGGCCGACCTGGAAACAACACCAGCCTCTTCTCTATTTGGAGACAAAGGAGGGCGCGCTCGTCCGGCGCGTGAAAGGATTCTTTGGCCACACAAGACCAAAAAGAACCTAACTTGGTGAGTTTTGTCTTTTCATCTGCGTAACAAGCACTTAAGTGTACACGGGGATTTGTTTATTTATGTATTTTTGGGGTATTTCATGCATTGCCACAGCATAGACTGTGTGCGGGATTTTTGGGGGCTTTTGTTCTAGATTGAAGCTAGCGGCTGCGCGTTAGTATCGCTCTGTAAGCGACCCTGGAACTCTGAGTGTCTTCAGCCAGAACCGCTCCGTTTTCAAGAACGCGCGCTCGCTGGTTGAACCAGCGGGGGGGGGAACGGAGCGCCCCAAAGTGGGTAAGAGCAGGGAGAGACTAAGCGGGTTAGGCCCATTGTTCTGTACGAGAAAATGGGAAAATCAATCTAGAGATGCCACACCGAGGGGAAGGTTAACGTCCCCCGTTACAATGACAATGGAAAAACGGTTCGGACCTAAAGCTATGGAGGCTCTATGTCTCCGAATCAACTACGCATCTTGCGTGATAATTTAGAAGAAGAAGGGAAGAAAAAATATACTTGGTTTTAAGAATATCACGGCAAAAGACGTTAGAGAAAGAAATATGTAAAAACAATAGCTCCTCCGCTTTTCACCGAAGCGGAGAACACACAGGCGGACACACACACACACACATCCCCCACACCCCCACACCCCCACCCTACCGCCCTTTTTCCCCTACTAACAACAAGTGTGCATTGCATTTACGTTTGGAAGTTAGCTCTAATGGCATCTGAACAGGGGGGTTTGTTAATCTATTAACTGTTGAAAACAGAACACGCAGATTGTTGCTGCAGCCTTCAATCATTTCAGAAAAATACCTTTCTCTCGTACTACGTAGCACCCGGTTAAACTCGCACAACTTATCTTTGAATATCTTGTAATCAACCTGGAGGTTGGACTTGCGCCACTTCCGCTCGACCCTCCGGCACTTTCTCTTCAGTGCTCTGACCGAGTCTGCTTTAGCCCACGGCGCCTTCTGCTTATTTTTCACTATTTTAACCTTCACAGGGGCAACGGTATCCAGAACATTCAAAACACTAGAGGTGACAGAGTTAAACAGTTCATCTACAGTAGAATACGATGCATTTTCAAAGTTTATCATTCCCATAAATAGTTCACTCGTATTTTCATTTATGTGCCTTCTTCGAACAGTTGCAGAGTCCACTGGTGGTTTGTTAGTGTGATGACAATCTGCTTGTGACTCGGGGACGCCAACTCACCCCCCCCCCTGCTGCTCTATCCAGCTAACCTGCAGGAAGGAGCCAGTCCTTCCCGCACCGCCAGACAATGCTGC